CGTATTTCTGTACTGATTTCACGTTGAAAATCGCCGTTGGCGTACATTACACATTTGTATATTTTTTCATTTTGTGTATGGCTTTTGAAATTTCTAGTGTAGATAGAAATATGAAACAAGATCTATAGTATCGTTTCTTACAGCGCATATTTAATTTTATTATGTGAGATTCAGATAGGTGCTGTAGGTAACAATGAACAATGAGATAACTAAGTACATGTACAGTAGGCTACATGTACAAATGTATGTTCTGTATTTCCAGGTGTTGAAAAAGTAATCCTTTATGCAAGAAATATCAATTCAATGTCGTAAATAAGTCTATTCTCAATGTACATATTATGTACATCTTGACGAGTCCCGATGTTATGCCTAAATACATGTACTTTTTTTCTGCGCTGTTCACTGAGGGACAATCACTGAAAATGTACACATCAGGGGTGTGAGTGACTACTGATAAAAATAGCTGAAAACAGCTGAAAAGGGTGTAAAAAAAGTTGAACTTTGGAAATCTCCTATACCTTTGTAAAAAAAAGTGAGGGAAACAAGCTCAAATTCAAAACAAAAAAAAGCTGAAATCAGTTTTAAAGTTGAGATTTCACACCCCTGATACATGTACATGGTCGTCAGGCATATCAGGTAAAAAAAGAAAGTTAAATTGAATGGAAATAATGTGTTTATTAGATGGAATTTTGCGTCGGGGTGATATAAATCAAATTAGCTTTTGCCCTTCACTGACGTTTTAAACACTGTATACTCAGTGTTACCTCCCGAGTGAAAGTTGGAAAAAATCACTCGGGTGGGACTCGAACCCACGACCTCCTGCTTTCTAGTGCAGATGTCTTACCACTCGACCACCAAGCTAACGGGATCGGTTGGTTGGTTCGAATCTGATGTACATGTATAGCAGCGGGTACTGCACGAACTATTATAAGATGGACTTTTGCGTCGGGGTGATATAAATCAAATTAGGTTTTGTCCTTCACCGACGTTGTTTTTCACCAAGTGATTTTTTCCAACTTTCACTTGGGAGGTAACACACTGAGTATACAGTGTTTAAAACGTCGGTGAAGGGCAAAACCTAATTTGATTGAATAATGTGTTCAATTTTTATTATAAAAAAAATTACATGTATACATTTTACCATTTACCACTGTCTATAATCACATGATCACCTCATGGATATTTTTTAGAAGGCACGGCAACCATAATATGTAAATTTTTTAAGTTTTAAATTTAATTCAGTAAAAAGATTTAGAACAAAATATAGTCTGTTATTCATGCTTATTCCTGTAGTACTTTTTAAGTTTTAAATTCAATGCAGTAAAAAGATTTTGGAACAAAATACAGTCTATTATTAATGCCTATTCCTGTAGTACAAAAGTGCTGCAGTCTAAGATGGCGGCAGTGCATAATGTCTATCGGAGCGAGTGTGAATTTGCTCTGTTTTCCTTGTGATGTGTTCCTGTTCTTCGTGCACATGTAATTTTAGCATCAGACGCCAGTCTGCACAGAAGCCGGGCAAATGGCACATCAATGACAGACAGACGATTGTAAATACATGTATACACGAACTTGTACCGCCTCACAGCCATTAGATAACACTGCTACACAATTCCACACAAAGCAAGAGAAGCCTTTAAAGAACTGGACAATTGGGACAGGAGGCTGCTTTTCGCAATTAATTGCTGTTCTTGAATTATGCTGACTACGTGTGTGCAAAACAATTTTTTAGAAAATTCAGGATATGTACAATTAAAGGGAAATTACAACATTTGCAAGCATCGAAACATAAAACTACAGTACCAAGTTTTTACGAAATACCTTACAGGATGTTGGTAAATGACAGTCTAAAGCATCCTGTAAAATTATGGCAACTGGAGTGAAGTCATTTTCAAGTAAATGGTATTTTTGTATACATTTCCAATGGTGGTCGGCCGACCACCATTGGAAAAACCTAACTATTTTTCAACTACTGCTCAAAATTTATCTCTTTTTTTTCAGTCCAAATTTTGTTTCCTATTGGTTGCATGTTCATGAATGGGGGCAGGCCAGCTAGACTGGTTCCCTTACCGTACAATTTTCCGGCATCTATAAATTGATACATTTAATTTTCAGTGGAGTCAGGGAACCAGACTACTTGAACATTTTTGTTTTTCTTGGTTTTTCCAGCATTTCCGAACACAAAACTTCAAACATGTCAGTGCAACAATAATTTGATCTATTATACTAACCCCTCAAATAGTTCATTTCTGAAAATTAAAGCAAAAGCCAATGATGTACATTCCCTTTAATTAATGTACATGTACTGGTATATATGCAGTTAGGTACGGTACACAAGTTGATGCTCAGGGCTACAGAACGTATCCATGGGCAATTCCAGTTTTATGGAAGAAAATTGAATGACTGTGACAGAGCCAATTAACCATGATACCGGTACCTACAATTAATGATTCAGAGAAACGAATCTCCACGACTACCGTATCACTACACGTACATGTACGTGTACGTACATTATGGAAACATTGCAAGATTTGGAAAATACATGTACATATTTTCAGGTTCATTCACTGAACTCTTTAGCAGTAAAAAAAAATTCTGATTTGTAATGTCTATAAGATGACACTGGAATTGCCATCATGTACCCAGTAGACCCTATGTAAAATATGGAATTTTTCATGCAGTAAAATTTAAGAAGATGGAAATACATGTAAAGAGCATCCAACATGAACATGTACAAACATGCAGTCGAGGCATACACCCTTTAGGAAATAAACAGTACTCTAAAATAAATGTCGCAGTCCAACATTTTCAGAATTTTGTACCAACTTCAAAACAAGAACTGTTCTTCCAATGACATTAACATGTACATGTACATGTACATACTCCCAATTCTTATTTGTTTGCACACATACATGCACATGTACATGTACATGTACATCAGGATCATATTCTATAAATTAAGGGTCCAAAGTGTGACATTTTTCCTGCACTTGTTAACAATTAATACATTGTAATTCGCTATTCACGTTTAATGAAGTCTTCAATACCTACCGGTACATGTACATGTACACATGGGTACAGTAAAACGCCACTATAACGAACACCGCTATAATGAACAATTTGGCTATATAACGAACATCCCTATTTGCTACCAAATTCTATTATAATGCACAATTGTACATCGAACGACCACTATAATGGCCATTTTTTATGGACCCCATCGTGTTCATTTCACATGTACTGAACATAATGGCATTCTACTGTACTGGGTAGGTAGTTAATTGCTACTCAAAATCACTCCTGGAGGACGACAGCATTAAGGATTGCATCCAGACTTTATACAATCACTGATGTCAGAGGTAACAGGGACAGGAAAAGAACTGAACCCCACAATTACAGAATGATACACCTGTGGGCTTTTTTTTGGGGGGGGGGGGGGGCGGGGGCGGGGGGCCATTTCACCACTGCATACAAATGTAGTTCAAAGCAACAATTGTACCAGTAGGCCTACGGTACCGTACATACGGTAGACCTGCAGGAAAACAGTGCCAGGGCACTTTATGGGCAACAAAGGATGGATACAAATGTACAGCTGAGAAAATACCATGGCACAAACATCAAGTATGCACCGAGCTACCCAAGGAATAAGCCACTTCTGGGAATTCCACAAAGTGGATGCATTTAAATCTGTCCAACAATTGATTGCACCAAATACAATATTCCTGGGGCGTAAATGTACAATAAAGCTGCCACAACTTCACTAGCATGCACGTACATGTATTGACATCCTTACATGTATGCTTGCGGACAGATGTAAAGCCAAAAAAAAAATAGTCGGTCTCTGGTCAGACCGAAGTTCCGGAATTGATGCGGCGACGCGTTTTTTTTTTTTTTTCAAGCTTGTATTGTACAGACAAGGTGGGTACTATTTTGCTTTTTTGTGTCCTCATTATACATTGGTGTCCTCCATAATTTGCCTTGGTGCCCTTTATCATTTGCCTTGGTGCAATTTCCCCGTTTCTTGGTGCTCCTTGGTACAAAAATTTAAGGAGGCGCTGTTGTAGCTTCCGTGTTAATTTGAAGAGAAAAAAAAGGTTGACGCGCATGATTAAAATCGACGCGCGCGCTGACCAGAGACCGAGTATTTTTTTTTTTGGCCTAACTTGGACTGTTTTCATGCCTCATGTCTTTGTATGCACAGCAGCAGCAGGAGAGTAAAACATTGCTAGGGGTCAAAACGTTGTCTTTTTTAAACACTCAATCCCCAGATGTTGTTTTGCGGGCGGTGACAGTCGGGACTGACTAATGGATGTGCTCTTACTCTTCTGCATCCCTTGGGTTACCATAGGGATTGCGATTATATAGTGTCGCTCCACGCCGGGGAAACGAGGAGAACGAGGCCGAGTTCTTAAGATGTCAGGAATAATCTGACGCGTAACACGGCCCCAAGCTCGTTTTTTTTTCTGCGTCAGCTCGCCCCGTTCCCAGCCCGCCGATGAAGACGTCCGAAAGCTATGAATAGAAACGTCTGTTTACGGTGGACACATGTCTTCGTTCCTTAATGTCATAACAACAGAGTGCGCACATGCTCGCAGTACCTCAGAGGAGGCCGTGGGATTTACGTTCCGCATGTTCATTAGCGCGGAGAATTTCGGAATGCTCACCTTAACACATTGTTGGGTGGTGCGTTTACTAACATTTACACAAGCATTCCTGGCTTGGCTAATGTCTTACCACAAGGGGGGGAATATTATGATGTCAATCACTGAATAGTCTGAGAAGAAGAAAAAGGTAACTTGGGCTGGTTCAAACAAGGCTGCGAATGCTACAAACTAAATTTTGGTACCTCAGGCAATTTTTTTGGATTTTCCAAGCAGAGACATAATAAGCATAGCAAAAAGAATGTCATGTGATTTTAAGGGGTCCCTAACGTGCTAAAGAGAGGGTTTTAAGAATTGATATGATTATTATTTACTTAAATTAATCAACCGTAAACTCACCTTGCCATTGGGACAACTTTTCTTGAACACTCTGTGTAGAAAAAAAAGAAGAAAAGAAACTGATCAACCTACAATGTAGTATAATATCATTTATTAACAAACAAACGTTAAAACCTCGACAATAACATCTCAATATTTGGACCAATAAATACTAAGCTCATTTGTGGCTAAAGACTTCCACAACACTTTGGTTTCCTCATTTACAAAAAATAAAGAACATGTGGATAAAAAGAAGAGTTTTCCAAAAGGATCCATCCCTGCTATTTTTTTCTGATATTAAAACCGCATTTTTTTTTTGCACCAACATGACCAAGCCTTTATGACTTTCTAAATTGAAATCTTGCTAATATTTTGACATGAATTTAAAGATGTGTTCCTCGTGCTAATTTTGAGTTTCACCTTGAAAATTTTTTTTTTTTCAATTTTTTTTTCCCAGCAATACAATAGCCAATCACTTTTGAATGAGACATCGAACGAAAAAATCTACCGATTAGTTATTGAATTATTTCTTCACAAAATTGAGTATGTGTGCAAATATTAAAGCCCTTTCCTACAGGGTTGCAGATGCCCAAAATCAGAATAAATTGCTTCTTTGTTAAAACATACAATTGAAAAATCCGTTAGGAGAAAAGAAAAAAATCTATTTATGAAGAGCAAAGAGTTAACAACTTTAATAATAAAATCTGATGGAGGGTTCGCGCAAAATTTCAAATTCCAACTTTGCAAACAGAAAATCCTCTGCTCTTTTAGAACATCTCACGTATATCGTTGACATTTACAGTGATCTTTTCACAACTGTCTTATGCAAAGCCCGGAAAACTGACACTTCAAACACTTTATTTTTGCATAAACACTGAGACTGGATGTGTTATCAAATCTTTGAATAGTTTAATTCCGGTACATGTACAGATTCGAACCAGCCAACCGATCCTGCAAGCTCCGTGGTCGAGTGGTAAGATGCCTGCACTAGAAAGCAGGAGGTCATGGGTTCGAGTCCCACCAGAGTGATTTTTTTCCAACTTTCATTCGAGAAGTAACACACGCAGTATTCAGTGTTTATACGTCGGTGAAGGGCAAAACCTAATGATTTACATGTAATGTGTTACATCAACATTTAGACTCTGGTCTGGTGGCTTTAAAAGAGCACTCAAAGTACAAAGTTGACACGTAAATAAAAAAAAAAGGAAACATTTTTGAACTGAATGGGAATCGGGTAAACAAGTCAACTTACTAAACAAGTAAACGTTTAAAGGGGCATTTGGGTTGCAAATTTTCAATCAAAGACTTACCGATGATACTTTTATCGTGAACGAATTACACACATTCGTTTACTACGTTAAAAAAAATTCTGTTTAGGAGAACCGTGTTCCTTTAACGTGGCATTTCGGCCAGCACGTTTTGGTCGGCCTGTGTTCCATGACAGCCACATTCCTGGCTGGAAATGTCAAGTTGAATTCAACAACTCTTTCCAGAATACTTCCCTTTCTATAAAAGGTTTGCCGTTGTTGAGCCCAGGAGCGCCAGACCCGTGTTTAATTGAAAAGTAAGAAACCGGTGGGGAATTGTTAATTATCTGACATCTTATTTAAGTCACACGCTTTACATGAAAGGCCGAGTCCAAATTACTTTTTAGAATAAAGATTTCGCCTATTTTTGGAGCCCATGCCGCCGAATTTTTGATAGTTAGCTGAGATCTTGAACTTCAACGATGTACCAATTACAGTATCATAGAACAATAAATTGCGGAGTAATTAATCTCCATGGAGATTTGTCTGTTCGTGAAAACTCAAAATCCCACACGCCTGTTGTTTTGGCAAATTGCCAATACCCATTGCCCATCCCCCTTTGCGCCAATTTGTCTCTTCGTGAAAACTTAAAATCCCACACGCGCGTTGTTTTGCCCTTTGCGCGCACTCAATTCGTCTCTTCGTGACATGCCGCACGTTGTTCATGTCCCATTCATGTAGAACAACGTGATCGAGTTTGAATTTGTCTCTTTGTGAAAACTCAAAATACGATTCTGGTGAAATTTTCTCCACTTTGATTGTCATGATTTTGTTGATCTAAACTGATTTTGACAAAAAAAACTTCGCCAAAACATTTGTTGCTGTTCACTTAACCGATTTCAGCCGGAAAAAAAAAATTATAAAAAATTATGGGGTTTTTTGGCCTAATTCGTCCCTTCGTAAAAATGCTGATGACATGTACAACGTATGGTTGATGAATGTGGCTTAAACCACTTCGCATGTATCCGTTACTTACACTGACATCCATAGCCAGGTAATGCGGACATGTATTTACCATCTGAAAAACCCAGTTGGAGCAATTGGCCTGGGCATAATTGCAAAAAGCTGCTAAGCAGATGATATTGATTGCTTCATTTTTCTTGCAAATCAAAAATAATTTGGGAGCAAGTAATGAACAATGTACAGAGTGTACGTACATGTAGAGATGTTTTATTGAAGATTTTAGGGAGGTTCAAATTCCTCGTAAAAAAAAAAAGCCAAATGAGTTATGGTTAACTTAATGTGTAGATCAACCCACAGACGCTACATGTTCATGTATTGAAACCGGAGGGTGTGTCAGTGCACATGCATTTTATACGTACACAAAAACAAATGCATGTCTGTACATGTATACAGATGTACAATGTAGTTGTGAAACTGTTGAACAACCCAATTTGTTTTTTTATTTATCAAACATTCCTGCAAGCAAGACTTGTGATCATGTTCCCTAAACCCGACATATCCCCCTCCTGTACCCTCGATCCACCCCTCCTCGATCCACCCCTCATCCCTCATCCCCCCAATGGCCCCATCCCTCATCCCCCGCCCTCTCCAATGCCACACTCAACATCTTCAGGAGGAGAAAGACGATCTTAACAGATGAAGTACCCTTCCAGCCCTACTCACTGCTATATAACCCCAAGTACATGTAGTAACTTCCATTAAATTCTCATCTTCAAGGCCTGCCATTCTGTATGTATGGTACATTGTACGTGCACCACACGCGCGCGGTTGTTTACAATTCACAGAGCTGAAGATTAACCTACATACATCATGTACCGCTACATTACAAAGTGACAGGAAGTGCCTGTAGAAATAAAAATAAAATTGCCATCGGCACGTGGTATGTAATCCACCAATGTGCAGGAACTCAAATGTACATTCTTTGTAAAATACATGTGCTTGAACTTTAAAACCCTAACCCCTTAGTACTTCCTCAGGACTACCCTGCTAAATCCAACAGAGTCCAACCGGAGCGTTATAATGCGGTGAACAGTTGCCTGCTGAATCCGACATTTTGCATGAGGAATGTACACAAGGGGTTTTACTGCTCAATCCAACAGGCTCCATCGGGTATGTGACATAGTTGGATCCTGTTGGATTCAGTAGGGTTAGGGTTAATTAAGCGACATCATCCCCCATGTTTACACTCGGCGTGAATTAAAGCGAAAGTCACAAACGCAAATTTGTGACGTCAAGGTAAGTATTCGAGCTGCGAAATTCGCGCAAGTGGAACACATTGCAACTCAGACAAATTTCGCAGCGAACGTTTCATGACGTCGAATTTGCAGTGTGTTTGCATTCGCGTGAAGTACCGGCATGAAGTGGCTTTAATAGTGGCTGACTTACATGTACACGTAGGTACATTCCTTTAATCCTATCAAAAAAAATCTTTGTCCGTTTTGGGTGATGAGAATATAATTACGTTTAATTGAAAATTCCTCCAAATGGCAAAGAAAATCAACGAGGTTCAAAGATTAAGACATCTAGATACGAATACATTATTTGGCCTACCGATCTCCACCAGAACGAGATTTCCTGCTCGGATCTTGAGAGGACGAATCACCCATGGTTGTCAGAAAAAAATTTTACCGGCAAACGCACAACCCCGACGGTAAATATAATGCACTTTCCTGTGATCCAGAATGCAAAACGTTTGTCGCCTTGATAGTGATTGTTGGATGTTAAAGAAGTCTAAGGTGTTATCCAAAATGACGCCTCAGTAACGATGTTGACAATCAGCATACATGTGCAAGTACCTCCCGGTGAAGTGGGCTCGGATGAACAACTCGGCTGTGAAAAAGTGCACCGGTGATAACATGTAACCAAAAATCCACAGGTATTCCGTGAAAATACTTAGTAGTTGTATTGAATTGCATGTGGTGTCGTGTACGAGTACAAAACAAAACTAGCTTGCTCCACGAGAACTGATCCAAGAATGGTAGGTAATTTCAAAACCACTGCAGGCAAGATACATGTATCGGTATTTCAATAAAAAGGCCTGGCAAAAGCCAGTCAGGTTTGCCTGAGTAAGTTAAGGTTGGACAGAACTTTACAAAGTGCTGAACTGTAGGCACATGTCAACGTTTCAAAAATGCAGGCTGAAAATTTCCTGAAAGAGCACTAAATTGCCGGATAGCCATGTACATCTCCTATGGAGAGCTAATGACTGGAGCATGCAGGTGATGTCTTGCAACTGAAAGCCCTCCCTAAACTGAGTGACTATTTGATGCCTGCTAGGTACATTGTAGGTGGCTTAACGAGACGCGGCAAAAATGTGATGAATTTTTTATCTTTTTTTAACCATCTGTTAATTTAATATGCAAGATCAGGAGTGGCTTCTGACGAAACGTGATTATCATTTGGTCCCTCGGCGCGTCGTAACCGCGATTCACCGCCCCTTCGGTGACAATATAACCTTGGCGGTTCCTATGGCAACCGTCAAACATACAATAAACCCCCCACTTCCATTGGGCATCCAATTACTGGAGCCCAGAACGCCACGGAGTTATATGGTAATTAGGGAGTATTGTGGGTAACGTTAGCCAATACATGCACACCAGCAGACCTTGTGATTGGTGGCTGATCCTAGCGATTACCCACGACTAGATATTCCACTCGTCAAGTTTTTTTTGTCTTTTTTTAATGGATGGGCACTCAGAGATAATGAACACATGAGGTCAAATTATCACAGGCATGCCGAGGACAGGCATCATGATCGCTATCCAAATCCATTATCAGATATTTGGACTCTCAAAGATAATTACGAGGCAAACATTTATGGCAAATAATGTAAGATTTGTTTTGCAACGACTGCCCAAAAGAGGGCTCACTACAATTAAAACGCTTTACGGAGTTTAGTCTAAATTGTAAGTCAAACCGCCAAGTACCGGTAGGGCCTAGTTTTGTGAAGGTGCACAATGCAACGAATATTGGCGAACAAATTCACACAGTCGTGTTCCGTGACTGTGGGGCCCACACACCTTTTGAGCGACAGTTATTATGTGGACCAAAGACACAACGGGGACAGCAGAAAGTCCCCATAACTCGGTCCTAATTGCCCTAACGATTGGAAACCTCCCCATCATGTGGTGTCTGCTTGCCCACTCATATAAATATGTACATGCACTGTGATCATGGTGATGATCAAAGTGACAAACAATGAAATAACGGCTTGTCATACATGTATAAATGTGACTACCGACCATTCTGAATTTCCTTTGCCCTCCACAGTACACAATGGTATTTTGACGCGCCCAAACATCCAAACAGAATAATTAAAGGCAAACAGGGAAACACAACTACGACCTCTTATTGGCGCTGGAAATCCTCGTTTAGATTTCGTATCCACGTTCTTTTTGATCCAGTTGATCTCTGTTCATGTACGCTGGGGCAAAAATTCCGATATTGATTTTTCTACCTTCATGTTATAATCGGAAGGCGGGATGCGTGGGCATAAAGACTGTGCATTAATGTGCACCACTCTCAACCACAGATGAAAATTAAAGTCAATGGTTAAAGGGGCACTCCTGAGTGTGGATACATAAATTGTGCTTAAAGAGGCTCTACAGCTGATAGGATAAGTTTAAGTCAGTGATTAAAGGGGTTAGGTACATTGTATGTTATGTGTCTGAATGTGAAAATATTAATCCTGTCTGCTGGTGGTAGGATGACCTTTAATTCAGTGATTAAAGGGACACTCCTTTGCGGATTGAGGAAGCACAAATGATGTCTGCTTAAAAGGAAGGCCGTTCCATGCATGTCAATGATTGCAGGAGGGTTGACTTTTAGGCCTCATTTGCATAGGACCTAGACGCAGCGCTTGCCAGCAGGATGTTGTGGAGGACAATGTTTTCTGCGATCTTGCAGCTAAAAATGGCCAAATCCAGAAAAATCACTCAAGCAAAAAAGTGTTCACCATTGGGAGTATACTCTGTACAAAGCTGGATCATTTACCACTAGAACAGCTAGCTTTAAGAGATTTGGGGTTTGATTCCTGTTCATGACGCAAATAACTTCCCTCATCCTGAACAAAAAAATTTGCAAATATTGACTTTCAAACTAACATTACCTTGCACTTTTGGACCGACATTTTTTGCAAAAACAAACTGTTCACCATTTCGGTGTTTTCCTACCTATGGTTTCTCTAAACTAATCTAGAACACCACTACCGGTACATCTATGACTTGAACAACTACCCAGAGGTTATGGGTTTGAAATCCTGTTTGAGCCACATTTCACTGTCCCAAACCAACTTGTTTCAATTAAATTTTCAAACTTACACTCCCTTGTCCTTCGGGGTTGACATTTTCGCAGCTGTCGCTCTCACTTTTTTTCGGCCGACACTGCGAATCCGCCAATCAGCTTCTCACGTTACACCTGTCCGCTCAGCCAATCACTTAACACGATCGTACAGGAAATGGCATATATCGCAGGTGCACCAAGACAAAAATATTAATAATCGCAATCCGGAGAGTGCAGGAACATATATCACAATGGCACCGCGAAACTGTATCCAAGTACGTAGGTGTGGATCACATCTTCTTTTTCTTTTATTTTTAGAAGCCGTATCACTTTTTTACATCATCATTAATCTATCATTTGTTCTGTCAGTTTATTAGTGGAAGGCTGATGGTCTGATCATAGAGAAAGGTTTTTCTATGGTCTGATCCAGTAGATTTTGAACGACTTCACCTCGAGCGCTGATATGGTCCATCAGCCAGCGATTCCTGTAGCCACACCTCCAAATATACACATATTCCACTCATTGTTTTGAGTTTGCAGTACTTGCAAGATACTTTCTGAGTTTCTTTTGCGACTGATTATACGCGTACACACAGATGTTTTCCGTGGCAACTGTCCCCTATCCTCAAACTTGCACAATCCCAAATGTTGTCCCTCACAAATGAAATAAAAATCCCCAATTCTCCATCAGATTAGTTATATTGCATTCAATTCCAACAGCATGCCGTCCCACACAGTGAGCACAGAATACATTTGTTTAACTGCCGTAACTTTCACACCGGTCCGATAACCAGGTTATGCACACATATCGCTGCTCTCTGCTCCCTCAGTTCCAACAGGTTTCCTGGCTAGTCTTCCACATCAGCCGTATTATAGGCTGACCTTCCCAAGGTTTTCTGTCACTCATTGGAATTTTCACTTCCTTAGCACAGGTGGTTGGTGACTTGTATGTACACATAATACGTCAGTGTACAGTTCTGTTTGCCTGAAAACTGGGAAGTAACACAGGAAACTATCGTTCCGTTTCTAATCTAGTGGCCATAATGCACTGTCAATCACGGGACCCCCATCGTGTGTACCTGCGACGCAAGCAAAAGGCCAATGATGTCAAGCCTGGCTGCTCACAAACCATGGGCCCTCTGGTGATCTGAATGAGCTGATTGGCAGGCAAATGACCAATGAGTTGTCTCCATGGATGTAACAGGTAACAGTATAACACATCATTCCAATATTTTAGGGAGGTAAGTTGATGTCACTGTCTACAAACGTCGACAATTCGGTTTCCAAAATGCATGGCACACACAGTAGAGTTGGTGTACATCTTGCGGTTGAAAGCTTCCAGATTTGTTTCAAGTGTGACGTGAAGAGTTGAATCAATGTTCCGTAAGTTGACAACGAAAATCTAGATGTATACGCACGAACAGAACTCTACTACAAGAAGTAAAAAGTCAAACAACAGCTTAACAATTTCTACAACATGTATCTCAACCGAAAGTGATGCGGTAAAATAATGTCAGCAAATGCGCTACAATTATGCTGAAAAACAACCATTTCCTGGCACTGTGGTGTAATGCGACAAGTGCACTGGAAAACACTCTTGCTCTCGTCTGCCAGTCGGACACCTCTTCAAAAGTGTCCTCACATCTGTCACGGATGCATGAGGTTGTGCGATTTTAAATTGATGACGCTGTTTGTGGGGAAGTGCAGTTTGAACGTCCCCGTCTCGCAACGGGCATGGTCTGGAATATCTGATGCCGAACGGTGGCAGTGCTTGACCGACATCGCTGTGAACTTGGGAGGATCTGCCGATCGACTCAATCCTCGTCCGGCGGGAACCAGGCTATGGACAAACTGCAGGCACATGTGTACATGTACCCATGTGGGGGCGGCAGAGATGTGCATGTTGGCTGGGGGAAATTTCAGGGAATCGCTAAGCGTAGAAAGTATGGAATGTATCGGCTTAGCGAAAACACTGGTTACCAGGCAAAATCTCATCCAATGTACATGGTCTGTAACTGGTTCCCTGCTGATTCATGCTTAGCACATAAATCTCCTAAGCAATATTCTGTATCTCTATTGTGTCCAGGGCAGCAACAAGATAACAATCGGTCAGCAAATGTGCTAAGCGCATATAACAAATTTCACGTGACCCTTAATGCGAGTCTATCCGCCCACTTCATTTACTCTACTTTTCTTCCCCCGTCCCGTGCCGTCGTGGGGATTCTGATTCTTGTAGTCCCTGGCTTAGTTTTGTCATTTCCAATTACTCCGTTTGGCCGCTGTGGGGACGTTCGGGTGTTTACCCAGCATGCTGGATGGATTTTCCTGTAAGCCTCTGTGCTGTGCAATATTGCTTATTGGGGAGGAAAAAAAGGTTGCAGCCATAACATAAAGAATAGACTGGTAATTTACAACTTGTTCTTGCGGCTATAGTGAACATCGTGAGAAAGGGAAGTGGTTTTGTTGGGTTGCTTTACACCAAAACCTTTTTTTCCCCCGTCCTTCTAGTTTGTTTGTTTTTTTTAGCCTGCTTTTTCTTCCCTTTTTATTATTTGGTTTTTTATTTGGGGGGGGGGAGGTCTAGGATTATCCCTAGTCCTCCAGTTACATGTAGGATCCTACAAAATACACCAGGATTTCAAACTCTGGCAAGTTTCGTCAAGTTTATTTTTTAATTGCTTCTCTTTAGAGTACAGTATGAATGTACCATAGGTAAGGCCCCCCCAAAAAAGTCTCCGGTTTCTGGTATGGAGCTTGTCCAAAAAGTGGTGCGGCGACGCGGCTTTTTTTTTCTTCTTTTACCTGACTTTTTTGCTTCAAATGTCGACTGATGACTGCAAATGGTGCCCGACTAAACTTCTTGCAAATACATGGGAGTCCAGAGAGGCCACATAAAGCTTATTCTCGATCATGACCCCATCTAAAAACACGTTAAAATTGTGCAGCAGCAGAATTCCAGTCAAACCAGTGAGTTTTGCGGTTTTGAGACATCATCTTTCATTGAAGAAAAAAACTTTTTCATTTTGCCGACGCGCATGGCCACGGCGACGCGCGCGCATACCAAAAACCGGAGACTTTTTTTTTTGGGCCTAAGTGTCTGTAAATCCTCGGAGAAGTCAGTCAGCACCAAGCACAAATTGTAGATGGTCAAGTAACCATGTGGAACAATCTCTTTTTGAGAAGTGTGGTTCTGAAAAGAACCGGTTGGTTGTGAAACTCGACGTTGTGATCAGTATGCTCAGATCATCTTCAGGAGAGAGAACCACACTTCTTCAACAACAAAAAAGAGATTCTTCCACATGGTGTTATCGCAAACCTCAGTTAGGATACCACCATGAAAAGTTTCAAATCTTACAGAAATTGCTTTATCATATAAATCAAAGACCAAATTTACATCACATTTTACAGATCACATTTTACTGATGAACCTAGCTGGTTTGAGACTAATGATTTGTGGGGGGCCACCTCAGCAGTTTACCCCCCAAGAATGTGAAAAAGCCCCATAAATCTAAGACATGTCTGTCAAGAATCATCACCCCTTCAATAGAATGGTATGGTCCTATTACATGTAACACAGAGCACTACAGGTAAATTTAGGGTTATTACTTCCCCCTATACACGTACATCGGCATGTACCGGTACATGTACAGTACATGTACATGTATGGTATGTACTGTGTCAAACCATGGAGCAAACATACAATGTACCTTTACATGTACCGGTGTCATATGAAAATCGGACTCGTATGAAAATCAACTCTTTTTCCCTTTTATTGGTTTAAAACCCCTCTCACGGGACCGGTCCCTGTCCTAATTATCTATGCATGAGCACGCGTAATACCACCAAGGAGTCCGTATTTCATAAAACCTAAATTCATGCTACACCGGTACCATTAGGCTTTATGGCCGACACAATTTGAAGTAAATTTGAGCAAATTCAAAAGAGTTTTTAAACCCACTCCAAATGGCTGCCATACTTCAAAAAGGCTATTTTGTGCACGTTTCCAAATGAAATGCAAATTTGAGTCCAGCTTTTTTTCCCCACTTTGAGTTTTAAAGATCGTAGCATTTAATCTTTGTACTACAAACATGTAGACCAAGAAAATCTGTAATTAGGACATAAAAAAATGCAATCATATATTTGAAGTACCGGTAATGTCTCCATACATGTATAATGTGTACAAAACTGCAATAAAAGTTTATGCATACTGAACTACATGTACCGGTACATGCTCAGTATGTATTGTATCTTCATGCACATTGGAATTACACTTAATGTACAGGTACATGTACATGAATACAGGGTCTGTGTACAAGGGAAAATATGGGCTTATTTTTTCAAATGGCACTCCCATAATTGAAACATCAATGTGCAACAAGAAAGAAAGCATTTTTGTCTATTTATGGTCAAACAGGGCCAAATTATGGCATGACATAACACATGGCATTTCCCAAATTACAAATTTTTGCCAGGAACCTTGTTTTGTATTGTTCGCATAGAGAATGTAAATATGCATGGCAAAATGATGTACAGAAATGCCCGTAGATAATTGTAGTTGTTCTACACACGAGGGTGTATAGGCCTACCCTTCAAAATTTAATTTGAAGTGTACCGTTAAGTGCATAAATTCCTAAATATTAATGCAAACTATATGCAATACGGCCGTACGTCCTTTTAATGACCAAATTTACGACTTGCTTTTCAGATCAACGTCATGCGGCATATTCTGCCATTTTTTTTAGATAACGAACATATGGCGTACAAGATATTTTGCAAGCCAAAAACTATGTCCTTTTTGGGGAAAGTGACAAAGGCAGCGCTCGTCATCCCCACCCCAGTTGACACAGCTTCCGATCGTCAACAGAGCTCCCTGTTGGCGCATCTTGCCATGCAATGCTCCAACCGCGATAATGTTACTGTCTTCCCAATGCACATATGACAGTCAAGGTAGCATATGCACTTATTATAATATTTGATCCAGAAATCCAGAGACCAACACGAGAGTGACACCGTGCACACGGAAAAAAAAAAAATGCACCAGGCGCAAAATATTCACCGCGACTTCCCAGTCAAATCCCCAGAATAGCCGATTGAGCGACCGAGCCCAAAAAGCCGAGGTTTACAATTCCCGTCGAGATGATGTGTCGGATGATCTTATCCTTTTTCTTCTTCCTCTTTTTTTTTTTCCTTTTCTATATTAATTTCCCTAAGGTTACGACAGTATGCAGTTTGCATTAACATGAACTGCGATGCATGGACACCGTCTCCGGTGCCTCTGATGTCTGCTGAAGAGGATATTACGTAGCGAAGCAGGCTGAAATATTAAATCAAGCACGATACGGTTGAGACGAGCTGAGGGGGCCACAGTGAGGGGGGCTCTGTGATTGGCTGTCAAATCTAGCGAGAGGGGCAAAGGGGGACCTGGACTGTCTTTCAGCCAAGGCAATTTAGAATCGGTTTGCAGGCATGAAGATTCCAGGATGATGGAGGGGAGTTTCTATAGGGCCTACTACTGTAATTCAATGTACATGTATTGTTGGAGTACTGTACATGTACCATAACACTACCCGGCAGCAGGTATTTTCAGGTGCACCGTTACCCTGCTTAAAGGGAATATACATCATTTGCTTTTGCTGTAATTTTCAGAAATGGACGGAATTGGGGGGTTGGAAATATATAGCAAATATAGTTACACTGACTTTTTTGAGGTTTTGGGTTCGAAAATGCTATAAAAACCAAGAAAAACGATCATTTTCCTGTAGTCTGGTTCCCTGACTCCATATAAGAAGAAACAGAGCAGTTTACATACATTGGGGAATTGTAAGGTCAGGGAACCATTCTAGCTGGCTCGTACCCGTTC